ATTGTCTTTTTCCTGCGTGAATACTGACGAAAAATATTCATTTAGCACCTCTCCTATCTCTTCGGACTCCACGCACAACTTCCCACTACTGTCTTTGACTGGCCCCAGTCTTACTCTAGTCATTCTTTTATTCCTGACATACCTCTAGAACGCTTTAGGGTTTTCCTTGATCCTACCTGCTAAAGACTTCTCCTGTCCCCTCCTGGCTCTTCTTAGCGTTCTCATGTCCCCTCCTGGCTCTTCTTAGCAAGAGGAGCATAACCACGGGTCTGGGATCTCCTGCCATTTTTACTCTTAAGCTTAGCTTAGTCCTACTATAATATCAAATAATAGATAAATGAAATGAAAATATTTTTACCAATAACTCTATTTACCAGCACACGATAAAAAAAAAAGAAAAACCTTACCTATCAACACACCACAGAGTCTTTTTTTTGGTTAGAGGAGGAGGGCGGGTGGGAGACACTACACATGTAGTGTGATAACAAGGTGTAGAGCTGGATGAACACAGCAGGCCAAGCAGCATCAGAGGAGCAGGAAGGCTGACCTTTCAGGCCTAGACCCTTCTTCACGTGTAGTGTCTCGGGTTTAGCCACTGCCCAAATATATCAGTTCACTCACCTTCCCAGAGCGCAATTCGACCGCTCCCACTCAGCTCCGCTGCCGAAAAGAAGAACTTACCTTCCCGGCAGCCCCATGGTCCTCGCTCTCACTGCTCCCGCTGCTGCTGCAAAAATGGAGGCCGCTGATTCCACGAGGTAAGTATTTACATGGGAAACTTACATCCTGGCAGCCCCCTGGTCCTCACTCTCACCGCTCCCGCTGCTGCTGCAAAAGGTACTAAGGGAGCGCCACACTGTTGGAGGGTCAGTGCTGAGGGAGTGCCGCACTGTCAGAAGGTCAGTGCTGAGGGAGCGCCGCAGTGCATTCATTTGCATGTAATGTACCGGTACCAATGTACCATTGGTTCTGTCCAGTTTCCCACAGAACACCAACCCCTGCACATTCCCCTCCAACTAAAAGTAACTTGTTGTTCTGACCTAACACAGTGTTGAGCTGGAGGAACACAGCAGGCCAGGCAGCATCAGAGGAGCAGGAAAATTGATGTTTCATGTCAAGACCCTTCTTCAGAAATGGGAGAGGGGGAAGGGAGCTCAGAAATAAGTAGAGAGTGGACGGGTGGGGCTGGGGAAGGCAGGTGGGATGGGGTTAGGTGAGTGCAGGTAGGGAGTGGGTGGGGATTGGTCAGTGAGGTGGGGGGGACGAATGGGTGGGAGAGAAGACGGACAGGTTGTGTCGGGTCAAGGAGGCGGGGATGAGCGGGAGGGTTGGTCATAGGATGAGGCCGGAGTGGGGGAGATTTTTCTCAAAGACTTTCAGGGCCGAAGAGATTACCAGAGGGTTGCAGTGGGAGAGAGATTCCCTCAGGTCCTCCCTCTGGAAAGACCTCAGTGAATCTCTCTCCCACTGCAACCCTCTGGTTATCTCTGACTCCAGCATTGGCAGTTCTTACTGTCTCTGCGTTGTTGTTCTGACCTACCAGCTGCAGCTGACCCTTGACCCACTGGCTGCCCCTCACTCATGACCTACTGGCTGTCCCTGCCCTACCAGCTTCCCTGACCTACTAGCTGTCTCTGACCCCTGACCTGCTGACTGCCTCTGACCCCTGACCTACTAGCCCCAATATACCAGGTGATCTGCCTGATTGCTCTTTGTTTATTTTGCAGATTGCTATGAGAAGATGCCGGATGCTGCTGGTCAGAGGAGGCTGTGTAGCTCAACAGTGTGTCCCCCAATGGAGATCAGTTGCACCCAGGATGAAATTAGGCTTTTACGGTTAGTGAGAGCCTGATGGAATTGAGAACCGCCAAATTGTTTGTGTGTGTTTGCTGAGGATCAGAGCAGAAAGATCATCATTTCCATCCTCTGTGCTGGCTGAGAAATCAGGCTACACTGTGGCTGAGCAGCTGTTTGAAAGCAGGAATGATGAGGGTCCCAATAGTTGTGCTTGATCTACTAAGTGTCAAGTGATTTCATGACATCCCAATATCCCACCAATCCCTTCCTCAGTATTGCCAGAGGAACTTCCACATTTACTGATCAGCTGTTTGCCAATGATGGGAGAACAGCCAGGCCTCTCTTGCTCAGCCTTTCATGCTCACCTTGGCAGTTACTGCCCAATTGATGGGACAGCTCTCTCCTTGCTCAGTGGATCTTTTACCTTTGACTGGGCAAGTGGTCAGGGGAGGGGAGAATCTCTGCTGGTCAGGGGTTTCTCTGCCTCGTTAAAGGATCTGCCTGGTTGAGGGTAGTCTACCTAATCGATGGGTTTCTCTATGCCTGGTTGGTATGGCATCGCTACTTGGACAGGGTGATCTCCGCCTTGTTGGGGGGGCTCTACCTGGTCAAGTTGGTCTGGTTGGAATGTCTTAACCTCCTATTAGTGGTGCCAGTGGGTGTCTTCTTGATGCTAACTCAACAATGATTGGAAATGAAAGCAAGATCTCTTGACAAATGGGATATGGAATTGGTCAGCACTGGGCCATTGGTGAGCAGTGGGTCTGGTCAGCACTGGATCTCTGGCCAGCACTGAACTGGTGAGCATTGTGTCATTGATTGAAGCAAGTTTCTGATCAATATTTTCTGTATATTCCCAGCAGGTTGTACAGGAAGCAGCTGGAAGCTGCTGGGTTGCAGGTAGAGTTTTGTGATGCCGAGAATCCTGTGATACTGATCAAAAAGGTGCCAGCCTGTTTTATAGAAAAAGAAGCCAATGAAGTTCGAAGAGGACGGCATCCGGTCACTCAGACCATCCTGAAGGCAAGCAGCTTCCCTTGTTCAGACCCTGCCCTTCTGTACAACAGGAGGAGAAGTTGAGCTGCATCTTATGCAGGGGTTGGACTGCTGGTCCCAGAATGGGAAGCCATGAAGAGAACCTGTCCCTCAGCCATATTATAGAAAGGATAAACCACTGCCTCAATAGGGGAGCAAATCCCGCTCACATTGCAAAGAGCATTGTATTCCTTGCTCACCATCACTACACCAAGTGTTTGATGTAGAGAAGTGGGCTTTCAGGAACCAAAATTAATTGATGAGGTTAGTTCCCTTCAAGGTGCAGAATCCCAGCTGCAGATCCATAGCACTGACTCAACCCCGCCCCCCGGCACAACCCTGCATACTGCATGATCCAGACCTTATAGATTGCTCTGGGGACAACAACAGGTACATATTGCATTAATATAGTACTTTGAATGTCATAACTACCTCAAAGTGGGGTCTTGATTGGATGGTTAGAATGTGGTGCACAATGATGCCACTAGCATGAGTACACCTGGATGTGGTATTCACAGCCAGCCTCTTCGGGGTGACACGGTGGCACAGTGGTTAGCACTGCTGCCTCGCAGCGCTAGGGACCCGGGTTCGATTCCAGCCTCGGGCGACTGTCTGTGTGGAGTTTGCACATTCTCCCCGTGTCTGTGTGGGTTTCGTCCGGGTGCTCCGGTTTCCTCCCACAGTCCAAAGATGTGCAGGTTAGGCGGATTGGCCATGCTAAATTGCCCGTAGTGTTCAGGGAGGTAGAGGGTGTATATTAGGTGGGTCATAGGGGATGGGTCTGGGTGGGATGCTCTGAGGTTCGGTGTGGACTTGTTGGGCCAAAGGGCCTGTTTCCACACTGTAGGGATTCTAATTCTCCTCTTACGACACATTGGTGGAGCAATGCCCCTCGGTCTGTACAACTACTTGTGTTTCAAATAACGCTTTTAAACAGCATTTAAAGGAGGAGAATATAGGGACATTTAGGCAAGGATTCCAGAGATTTTGGTTAAGAAGAGCGATTAAAACCAGAGATGTACAAGAGGACAGGGCATTGGAGAGTTTATGGGGCAGAAGTAGAGCAGGATACGGTCAGGGAGGGATCTGTAAAGAAGCAGGAGAATGTTAAAATCAAGGCATTACTTACCAGGAGCCAAGGAGATAAGCAAGCACGCAGGTGATTGGTGAACAGGACTCAGTGTGAGTTTGTAAAAGAGGCAGCACAGTTTTGAATCACTTTAATTTTACAGATATAATGTGGGAGGAAAACCAGGAGAGCATTGGAAATGGTTGAAAAAGCATGAATGAGAATTTTAGCAGCAGACAAGTTGAGGAAGCTATTTCAATAACTCTGAGGTCAGTGACTTAGCATCTGAAAATATAGACCCTGAGCTTTCAACAGGCCCCAGATGTGCATCCACAGCCTGAAACATCCTGAGGCACAGCCATGTGCAATCCAGAATTCACAAAATTGAGGCAGGTCGTTTGGGGGGCTGTCGATGAATGAGAGGTGTATAAGGGGTTATTGATGTCTGTGAGTGTTTGGGCGTGTTGATTACTGAGAGGGTGTTACAAGGAGGTACTGATTGTGGAGGTTCAGGGGAGTACTGATGACTGCGTATTTGAGTGTTATCAATGATTGGGGTTTGGGGGGGCATTGATGACCGAGGGAGGCTTATCAATGATTGGGTTTGCAGGGTTATCGATGATTGGGGTTTGGTGGGGTATTGATTGCGGAGTGTTTGAGGGTTATCAATGATTGGGGTTTGGGGGGATATTGATTGCAGAATGTTTGAGGGTTATCAATGATTGGGTTGAGGGGGTATTAATTGCTGAGTTTTTGAGGGTTATCAATGATTGGGGTTTGGGGACATATTGATAACTGTGGTTTCGGGGGCTATTGATGACTCGGGTTTCTGGGTACATTAGGGGAGGTGTCTCAATGATGAGGAGGGTTTGCCACAGAACTATCTTCCCTCCCGATGTCGAATGTCCTCCCTACGTCTATTGTTCCCAGTTTCTAACATTCCCTGTTTACTGTGAGTTCCCTTGTCTCTGAACCACCTTTTTCATGGTGTTTTCACATTTGCAGGAGTTCCTTCAGGAACAGATTGAGGTGAGTGCTCAAACTCTGAGGTTATCAAGGCACAGCGTGTGATCCTACAGAATGATTTTTCAGGAGAGCGGGTGACCAGCGTGTGTGCGGTCAGAGGATGGAGAGGCTGCCGAGTCTGGGGGAGGTGGAGGGAGCCCGACAAGCCCAGCTGCTTTGTTTGGGGGTGTAGTGCACCTGGGAGGATGTGGGTGAGTCCAGGAAGAGGGGAAGATCCATGTTGTAGATGGCTGGGTAAATACTGGGAGTGGGGTTGGTGGGGACAAGGGGGTGAGTCTCAAGTCAGGGTGGGGCAGGAGAGTGAATCCAGGGTTGTGGCCGGGGAGTCCCAGGTTGAAGCGATGGTGGTTGTGTGCAATTGGATGTGTGCCAGGGAGGAATTGGTGGGCGAGTCCTGGGTTGAGGGATTGCCAGCCAATTCTGGAAGAGGGTCTGTTTGTGTTTTTCAGTCTCCCGATGTTAACTTACTGACAGTAAACCTGTTGACTCTACTCCACCCCTGCTGCAGATGTTTCAGTCAACTGGAGGGTTCCAAGGTGTGCTGTCACGGACAGTGCTGAAGGTATTGTCCTCACAGGCCTGTCATGGTGAGTTTAAACAGACGTTTAACAATCTACTCTGAGAAATGGAGCAGCAGAAATGGACTGTGCTGCTGTTTCTGTTCCATTGAGCCTCCTCTTACCTTTCATCTTTTAACCCCATCAGCATAGCCTTCTATGTTCCCTATATCAGTGACCACACTTCAAAAACTACCTCATTCAGTGTAAAGTGCTCTAAAGTCATGTCTGTTTTAGCTGGCATTAACCACAGCAATGTTTATTCAAACCACAACCAAGGTAGAAATAGACATATCTAGTGGTGGCTGTATCAATACAAGGTTTCTTTTTAATCTTTTCTACCTTGTATGTTTACCAGCTTCTCCTTAAATCCATCTATACTTTGGGGCAGCACAGTGGCTCAGTGGTTAGCACTGCTGCCTCATAGTGTCAGGGACCCGGGTTTATTTGACCTCGGGTTGGGGATTCTGGATTCACTGGTCTTTTAGGAGGGTAAATTCCTGGTCATATTGGAATCATCTAATGCCAAAAATGACTTCTAGAGTTTCTTTTCCTATTTGTGCACTGTTTATTTATGCTTTGTCTAAAGATCTTGATGCAAAAACTATTGCCTCCTCTTCACCATTAGGTAAGATGTGAGAAATGACTGCTGCCATTCCATACAGTGATGCTTCACAAGAAGTTGCTACATTAACCAGCTCGATTGGTAGTCCTGCTGCTGAGCCACTCTTGGTGGTGAACATTGAGATCCCCCACCCCGAGTTCATTTTGTGCCCTTGCCATCCTCAGTGCTTCCTCCAAGTGTCATTCAACATGGAGGAGTACGATTCATCAGCTGAGGGAGGACGATACATGGCAATCAGCAGGAGGTTTTCTTGCCCATGTTTAACCTGAAACCACGAGACTTCCTAGGGTCTGCAGTCAATGTTGAGGAGTCCCAGGTCATTGCGCTCTTGATTCCTGCCCCCTCTGCTGAGTCTGTTCTGCTGGTGGGTCATGACATATCCAGATGGTGTCTGGAATATTGTCTGTAAGGTATGATTCCATTAACATCAAGCTGCTGCTTTACTAGTCTGTGAGACAGCTCTCCCAATTCTGGCACTAGCCCCCAGATGTTAGAGAGGAGGACTTTGCAGCATCAACAGGGCTGTTCCTGCAATTGTCTTTTCTGGTGCCTAGGTTGATGCTAGGTGGTCTGTCCGGTTTCATTTCTTTGAGACTTTGCAGCGATTGGTATAACTGAATGGCTTGCTGGGCCATTTTAAAGAGCAACTAAGAGTCAGCCACATTGTTGTGGGCCTGGAGTCACATTTAGGTCAGACCAGGTAAAGATGACAGATTAAAAACCTAAAGAACTGCGAATGCTGGAAATCAGAAACGAAAACAGACATTGCCGGATAAGCTGGACAGGTCTGGCAGCACCTGTGAAGAGAAATCAGAGTTAACATTTCAGGTCCAGTGACCCTTCCTCAGAACTGTAGATGGCAGATTTCCTTCCCTGAAGGGCATTAGTGAACCAGATGGGTTTTTCTGACAATCGACAATGGTTTCATTGTCACTAGTAGATTCTTAATTCTAAGTAGTTCTTTCTGGAATTCTGTGGCAGGATTCGAAATTAGCTGAATTTCTGGATTAATAGTCTAGCGATTAAACCACTAAGCTATCACCTCCCCTTTTGCTGTGAACTGGAAGATTCACCATCATGCTGGTTGCAATTATGGAATCTGAAACTCTCAACAATTATCAATGATTTTGGTGAAATATGCTTCTATAGAATTCTTATTAATTTTTTTAGAAGTTTTGGAAACCAGCCTCTCTGGCTGTACAAAATTTCTCTGCAGGTGTAAAAGTCACCCCGCTCCTATCTGTTCCTGGCCAAGTCTCCACCTATACCTCAAGACATTTCCTTCATTTTGGGTACTCGTTATGCAGCGTTTCTACAGGGTAGAGCATGTTGCAAGCGTCTGCTGCACTGTGTACCTTTTCTATAGAGGTAGTTCTTTTTGTTTCTGCTGACTTGTTCAGTGCGGCGATAGTGTCTTTTGATGTATTTACTTTTTATCAAAGTACTTCCAAGGTCGACAGTGAGACCATAGAGCATAGAACAGTACAGCACAGTATATGCCCTTCAGCCCACGATGTTGTGCAAACCTATTATCCTACTAAGACCAATCTACCCTGCATACCCTACATTTTACTATCCTCCATGTGCCTATCCAAGAGTCGCTTAAAAGTCTCTAAAGTGTCTGACTCCACTCTAAAGTATCTGAATCCAGATAGAAGATCTGGATCGGCGCAGGCTTGGAGGGCCGAAGGGCCTGTTCCTGTGCTGTAATTTTCTTTGTTCTTTGTTCTTTACTACCACTGCCGGCAGAGCATTCCACATGCCCACCACTCTCTGTAAAGAACCTATCTCCGACATCTCCCCTATACCTTCCTCCAATCACCTTAAAATTATGTCCCCTCGTAATAGTCATTTCCGCCCTGGGAAAAAGTCTCTGACTGTCCATTCTCTCTATGCCTCTCATCATCTTGTACACCTGTATCAAGTCACCTCTCATCCTTTTTCACTCCAATGAAAACAGCCCTAGCTCCCTCTGTGTTTCCTCATAAGACCTGCCCTCCAGTCCAGGCAGCATCCTGGTAAATCTCCTCTGCACCCTCTCTAAAGCTTCCACATCTTTCCCGTAATGAGGTGACCAGAACTGAAGACAATATTCGAAGTGTGGTCCAACCAGAGTTTTATAGAGCTGCAGCATTACCTCGCGGCTCTTAAACTCAGTTCCCCTGCCAATGAAAGCCAACACACCATACGCCTTCTTTACAATCCTATCAACTTGTGTAGTGACTTTGAGGGATCTATGGACGTGGACCCCAAGATCCCTCTTCCTCCACACTGCCGAGAATCCTGCCATTAACCCTGTATTCTGCATTCAAATTTGACCTTCCAAAATGAATCACTTCACACTTTTCTGAGTTGAATTCCATCTGCCACTTCTTTGCCCAGCTCTGCATCCTGTCAATGTCCCGTTGCAACCTACAACAGCCCTCCACGCTGTCCACAACTCCACCAACCTTTGTGTCATCGGCAAGCTTACTAACCCACCCTTCTACTTCTTTATCCAAGTCATTTATAAAGATCACAAAGAGCAGAGGTCCCAGAACAGATCCCTGCGGAACACCACTGGTCACTGAGCTCCAGGCTGAATACTTTCCATCTACTACCACCCTCTGTCTTCTATTGGACAGCCAGTTTTGTATCCAAACTGCCAAATTTCCCTGAATCCCATGCCTCCTTACTTTCTGAATGAGCCTATCATGTGGAACCTTATTGAATGCCTTGCTAAAATCAATATACACCACATCCACTGCTCTGACTTCATCAATGTGTTTTGTCACATCCTCAAAGAATTCAATAAGGCTTGTGAGGCTTGACCTGCCCCTTACAAAGCCATGCTGACTATTTCTAATCAAACTGTGCTTTTCCAAATAATCATAAATACTATCTCTCAGAATCCTTTCCAATAATTTGCCCACCACAGAAGTAAGACTGACCAGTCTGTCATTTCCAGGATTATCCCTATTCCCTTTCTTGAACAAGGGAATGACATTTTCCACCCTCCAATCTTCTGGCACTACTCCAGTGGACAGTGAGGACGCAAAGATCATTACCAAATGGGCAGCAATCTCTTCCCTCGCTTCCTGTTGTAACCTTGGGTATATCCCATCTGGCCCAGGGGACCTAGCTATCTTCATGTTTTCAAAATTTCTAGCACATCCTCCTTCCTAACAACAATCTGTTCAAACATATCTGCCTGTTTCATGCTGCCTTCACAAATGTCAAGGTCTCTCTCACTGGTGAATACTGAAGCAAAGTATTCATTAAGGACCTCCCCTACCTCCCTTGACTCCGCGCACAAGTTCCCTCCACTATCGCTGATTGGCAGTATCCTCACTCTGGCCATCCTCGTGTTCCTCACCTAAGTATAGAAAGCCTTGCGATTTTCCTTGATCCTACCTGCCAAGGTTTTCTCATACCCGCTTCTAGCTCTCCTAAATCCATTCTTCAGTTCCTTTCTGGCTACCTTGTAGACTTCTAGAGCCCTGTCCTATCCTTGCTTCCTCAACCTTAAGTAAGCTTCCTTCTTCTTCTTGACTAGGTGTTCCACATGACTTGTCATCCAAGGTTCCTTGACCTTACCATCCTTTCCTTGCCTCAGTGGGACAAACCTATCCAGTACCTGTAGCAACTGCTCCCTAAACAACCTCCACATTTCTGTCATGCATTTCCCTGAGAACATCTGATCCCAATTGGTGCTCCGTAGTTCTTGCCTAATAACATTGTAATTCCCCCTCCCCCAATTAAAATACTGTCCCATACCATCTGCTCCTATCCTTCTCCATGACTATAGTAAAGGCCAGGGAGTTGTGATCACTATCACTGAAATACTCTCCGACCAAGAGATCTGACACCTGGCCTGGTTCATTGCCAAGCACCAAATCCAATATGGCCTCCCCTCTAGTCGGCCTATCTACATATTGAGTCAGAAATCCTTCCTGGACACACCTGACAAAATCTGCTCCATCCAAACTATTAGCACTTAGGAGGTTCCAGTCTATATTAGGGAAGTTGAAGTCACCCATGACAACAACCCTCTTACTTCTGCACCTTTCCAAAATCTGTCCCCCAGTCTGTTCCTCAGTGTCTCTGTCGCTATTGGGGGGGGCTATAGAAAACTCACAGTAAAGTGACTGCTCCTTTCCTGTTTCTGATTTCCATCCATACTGACTCAGTGGACTAACCTTCCTCCACGACCTCCCTTTCTGCAGCTGTGATACCATCCCTGATTAGCAATGCCACTCCCCCACCTCTTTTACCTCCCTCCCTATTTCTATTGAAACATCTATACCCCAGAACATCCAACAACCATTCCTGCCCTTGTGTTATCCAAATCTCTGTAATGGCCACAACATCATAGTTCCAAGTGCTGATCCATGCACTAAGTTCGTCACCCTTATTCCTGGCACTTCTTGCATTGAAGTAGACACACCTCAACCCGTCACACCGACTGCCACTCTGCCCTATCAACTGCTTATCCTTCCTCACAGATTCTCTGCTTGCTGTTTCTGCCTGTACACCGGCTACCCCATCCTCTGATCTGTAGCTCCGGTTCCCATCCCCCTGCCAAACTAGTTTAAACCCTCCTGAAGAGCTCTAGCAAACCTCCCGCCCAGGATATTGGTGCCCGTCCAGTTCAGGTGAAAACCGTCCTTCCTGTACAGGTCCCACCTTCCCCAGAAGATATCCCAATGATCCACAAACCTGAAGCCCTCCCTCCTACACCAGCTCTATAGCCACGTGTTCAGCTGCACTCGCTCTCTGTTTCTGGCCTCACTAGCCCGTGGCACCGGTAGTAATCCTGAGATTACTACTCTGCTCGTCCTGGCTTTCAGCGTCCTTCCTAACTCCGTATAATCACTTTTCAGGTCCTCGTCCCGTTTCCTAGCTATGTCATTGGTACTGATGTGTACCACGACTTCTGGCTGCTCTCCCTCCCCCTTAAAAATCCTGAAGACTCGATCTGAGACATCCCTGACCCTGGCACCCGGGAGGTAACATACTGTTCATAGATAGAATCCCTACAGTGTGGGAAACAGGCCCTTCAGCCCAACAAGTCCACACTGACCCTCAGAGCATCCCAGCCAGACCCATCCCCCTACATCCCACCTAATCTACATACCCCTGGGCACTATGGGTAATTTAGCATGGCCAATCCACCTAGCCTGCACATCTTTGGACTGTGGGAGAAAACCAGAGCACCCGGAGGAAACCCACACAGACACGGGGAGAATGTGCAAACTCCACACAGACAGTCACCCGAGGGTGGAATGACGCCTGGGTCCCTGGTGCTGTGAGGCAGCATGCTTACCACTGAGCCACCATGTGACCCATCCGGGGGTCTTGCTCAGAACCACAGAATCTCCTGTCTGTTCCCCAAACCATTGAATCTCCTATCACTATTGCAATTTACCAGGATGTTGCCTGGAACGGAGGGAAGGTCTTAGGAGGAAAGGTTGAGAGAGCTAGGGCTTTTCTCTTTAAAATGACGAAGGATGAGAGGTGACCTGATAGCGGTGTACAAAATGATCAGAGGTATAGATAGAGTGGACAGCCAGGGACTTTTTCCAAGGATGGAGGTAGCTATTACGAGGGGGCATAGTTTTAAAGTGAGTGGAGGTAGATATAGGGGTGACGTCAGAGGTAGGTTGTTTTCTCAGAGAGTGATAGGGGCGTGGAATGCATTGCCGGAGAGGGTAGTGGAGTCGGCCTCATTAGGGGCATTTAAGCGGCTATTAGATAGGCATATGGATAATAGTATAAGGTAGGGGTGGAGATTAGATAGACCTTAGTGTGCCATCGTGGGCCAAAGGGCCTGTACTGTGCTGTACTGTTCTATTGTTCTAGGTTACCTCTTACTGTGAACAATCCCTGTCAATAGATCTGATTCTCCACATCCTGTCTAACTGTGGTCTGTCATACGATGTTGGCAGGTGCTGTGAAATTTGGTGATGTACTCAATGTGGAAGAATGTAAAAGCCTCATGGACTCACTTGCTGGCTGTGACCTGCCCTTTCAGTGTGCTCATGGAAGACCCTCCATACTACCCCTGGTGGATCTGGATCACCTGGTGGTGGAAAAAGAGGTAGGACATTTGGGGAGTTCTACTTTCAGTACTCTACACACACAAGCAAAACTGAAAGTGGAGCTGTAACATCCATGAGCTTTAACATTTATTCCCCACTACCACCTCCAGCCATTCCCCCTGCCCAACATGAGGACGCAGTGTTTGTGGTGTCGTCCTCTTCCAAGCCACACACCATCCTGACTTAGAATTACTTTGCCATGCCTTCACTGTCATGGGTCAAAGTGCTAGAACTCAAACTCTCCCTAACAGCACCTTCACTGCATGAACTACACCAGTGCAAAGAGGCGCATGCACACCATCCCAAAGGGTACGGTGCATGAGCTGTAAATGTTGTCCTGGCAAGTAGCTGTAGTAATGCTGCTGTATCCCAGGGCCTGCAGTGGTTCAAGAAGGAAGCTCACCATCACCTTTTCCAGAACAATACATTCTAGCCCAGGCAGTGACACCCACATCCCCTTTGAAAGACTAAAGAATAAATGGCAAACCTTTTCCCTGTATGATTCACATCAGCAGATGACCTAGCTTCTCCTTGTTGTGTTATAAGTTTTGAGGTTGTTGAGGTTAGTTGGCTTGCCAAGCTGGTTTCTTGTTTCGCAGACATTTTGTTACCATGCTGGGTAACATTCTCAGCGCAGCCTCCGATGAAGTGTCAGTGTGTTTTTCCGCCTGGTTTTTAAACCTCTGGGGTCTGTTGGGATGGATTGCCTCACTTCCGGGGGTCGAGTTCAATGTGTTTATTACTAGCATGTTTCATGGAGTGCCATGCTTCTAGGAATTCTCATGCCTGTCTCTGCCTAGCCTGTCCCAGGATCTTGGTGTTGTCCCAGTCGAAGTGGTGGTTCTCCTTGTCCATGTGGATTGAGATGAGGGAGTATTGGTCGTGTCTTTTTGTAGCCAGTTGGTGTTCATGTACTCTTGTGAGTTTCCTTCTTGTTTGTCCGATGTAGTGTTTCTCGCAGTCTCTGCAGGGGATCTTGTAGATGACATTGGTCCTCTTCATGGCGGGGAGTGCGTCCTTAGTTCAGGTGAGCAGTTGTGTAGGGTTGATGTGGGCTTGTGTGCCACTCTGATGCCCAGCGGTCGTAGGAGTCTTGTGGTGAGTTCTGACGTGTTTCTGATATAGGGTAGTGTGATGAGTGTGTCGGGGCGTGTAGTCTCTTTCTGAT